AGTGACAGGTCGCCACCGAAGACGGGCCGGAGACAGCTGGCGGATGTCAGGACGGCCGAGCTGTCAGCGGAGACCAATGCAAGTCTGCTGGGCAAAGGACCCGTCAGTCGACTGCCACAGACCGGCACAGTCGATTCAAACGACTAGCCGCAATCTGATCTGGATAGTACTGTCCTGTTTTTATCCTTCCTTCGTCGTGCTTTCTTCCTGCTGCATGTTTTCGTGTTGAAGTCAGCGTTTCGTTGACTCATTTAGTCAGTATTTCCTTCGTTTTCCTTGTCTGTTTTACGCCCCTATCATGCGCATTGCACAAGATCCAACACGTTCTTTTCACACGTCTGTGTGGATCGTCTCACTGTACCACGGCCCGGACTGATCCTGTCCCAGTGGCCAAACAGGCGCTCCGCTCCGGCAAGGTCCGAGGGTGGCGCGGGGCAGGACCGGCGCCCACCGGCCGCCGCCGCCGGCCACCCGCTGTCGCTGTTTGTGTGCGCTCCATCCATTGAGCTCGGCCAGTGATCCGACCCGCCGAGCGCCGCTTACCTGCCGCGGCCGGCTGCCGACCGGCTCAGCCTGTTTACGTTGTGGCGTAGGTATCGCAGCCGCCGCACACTGGGCCGATCGCCAGGTCTAGCACGACATGGGCAAAAAAATCGAACTTTGTGGATGTGCAATGAAACCTATACCAATTTGTTCAAAAATGATCATACTACATTGCTGTGGTCTTTGTTTTCCAACACAATTGCTATTTCATGGCGAAAACTCAGCTTAAACACGAACTTCGGAATCGTTTGGACCGAACTCGTCCCCCGCACTCTTCGACAACGTATCTTTGATCCACGAAAACAATCACAATTTGAGGAGGAATTCCACATTTATATACATCAAACGATAGCTCCGGGTCTGCAGAACACACATAACCACATGAAAATGGCGAACTCTTACTTGGTTATGATGTATTGGCACCGCAAAGATTTAAAGACGAAAATATAATTTCACATAATTCATGTCACACACAAATAGACTTTAAAAAAAAGTACCGCGGAGTACCGCTTCGCTACATGTCAATAATTCATTGCACTACAAGATCCAACAGTCATTTTTTGCGACTTTTTGCGACTTTGGATGTAGCAGCCAAACATCAACCCGCGCCGGACCGGTGCTCGGCGTCAAACGCGCCGGGCCGGGAGATGTTGATTGAACAGTCCCCTTCTAACTCGGCTCTTGGGCCACGTAGCGACACGTAGTAAGTGGCATTCGAAAGAGCGCCCGAAATTCCAGATGGAGTAATTAGTCATTTCTAGGTCAGGTCAAAGGTCACGTCACCAGAGGTCATCAAAGGTAAAATGTTGCATATATCAACATTTCTCGAAAACCGGTCCTTACCTCGGGGACCAATAGAGCTACATCGTCGCGGGAAAGCGCATTCAATTGCTCTTTTAGCGGTCTTTCTGAAATAAGCCCTCACATTTGCCTTAACCCTCGCCCCTAGTGGTGTTTTTCCAGCCGCGAACGTATAGAAGGGGTCCGTTGGACCCCCCCCGCCGTTTCGCCCCTGATCGAGCTAGAGCTTCGCGGAAAAGACGAGCATGTTGCCCGTGACAAGAGGAAGCTGATGATACCTAATTGTAAGGTCCTAGGCCATCGGTTGACCTTCCAGGTCAGGTCAATGACCCAAAAATCGGGAAAATCGGGACCTGTTAGAACGTCGTAAAGGGTGGCTGCTATGTTTTTTTTTTTGGGTGCTGATCACGAATATAATGTTATTTACGATCATAGATGATGTCTTCATACATTTAGGCCAGGTCGGGTCAGGTCAGGTCAGGTCAGGTCAACCAGTAAGGGTTTTGCCGGGTATTTGCAGTAGGTGGCAACCGCCTCCGACAGCTTTGTAACATGTTACGAAGGCACCAAAGCTACATAGTAAATGTTCAAATGGTTGCTAGATTCGAATTCAGCTCCAAAAACTAGCCTAGAAACATGTAAAACTGGAAAAAGTGAACCAAGGTCATTAAAGGTCAATGACCTTACCTGACCTTCTGGTGACCTTGACACTCACCCTAATGCATGGGAGCAACATAATATTTCATGTTTGAGCGCTTTAAACCAAGAAAAGACTGCAAACCCGCGGCTAATGCGAGCCGACATACGCTGAATCGCGATTCCGGTCAAACATGGTCTCAAAAGAAGGTCACAGGTCAAAGATCATTAAGGTCAGGGTCATGAAATTTTCAGGTTAACTGTAAAAGTAGTTATCGCGAGGGTACTGAAAGTTTCGTTGCAATCGGCCGCTTTTTACGTGAATTACTCGCGAAAACCGAGGGTTCCGTTCGAAGATTCAGGCCCCGTCGCGCTAGAATGGCATATCGGCCCACTGTGCGCCGGTTGGCGTGCCTCCCCTGTGCCTACCGTGCGCCTCCCCTGCGTCTCCTGGGCGCCTCCCGCGAGTCTCGGGTGAGCCTCCGGTGCGTCTCCCGTGCCTCTCGGGTGAGCCTCCGGTGCAGCTCCTGTGAGCCTCCTGTGCGTCTGGGGATGCTGGAGAGGTGTTGGGTAACGCCACTAGGGCCCTGTGATGGGCGTGAGTTTGTAGCTTCTTGTTTGCGTGATTCGCTGGCAGACATGTGGGTCGTGCCGGCTTGGTGCGTCGTGCATTGTAATTGTTTGATAGTTCCTTTGTGCATACGGCTGCCTGTAGCGTGCCGGAGCTGGTCACTGGTATTCGTTGTTCCATCCCGACGTTCCCTGCGGCTCATTATGGCTCTCTGTGGCTCATTGTGGGCCACAGAGATCGGAGCTAAGCCGCCGCCATGGCCCAGCGGCCTTTATGTATCGGACGGTCCTCTGGGGCGCGGACTGCCACCGCCGGCAGAGATTTACGGGCCGGGCCGCGCGAGGAATGCGCCGGAGACCGAGCGGTCGGGGGCGGCGCAGGACGGAGGGCGGCGGCGGAGGGCGGGCAGGGCACCTGGGCACCGCCAAACCGTGACGGCCGCCTGCGACCCGCTCCGCACCGTCCACCTCGCCGAATTCCAAACATGCTTACGGCAGGATTAATCCGTTCGGGCCGAGGCGGTGGCCGCGGAATGTCACGTCCTCAAAGCACCCGGGGACTGTGTACTGCGGGAGTTCTCAGTGGTCGTCGACACCGCACTGGGGCGGCAAGGATTGACTGCGAACATGGTATCACCGGGCGAACCTGCAGCAATAATTGCCTCCAACAATGGGCCTGATGAGCTCTCGGTGTCGCCGAATGGTCGCCGTTCTGGTGAAAACAATTACACCTAATGACGCGGTCGATGCGGGCCGGATTCCGGGCCCGTATTGACTCAAGACGATGCATTTTATGCGGGCGGACCGGCAGCGCACGTGCCGCCTTGCTAGCACAATGGCGCACTAATTCACCACTTTTCGCAGTTGACTGAAAGCTTTTTAGGCGCACAAACATCGTTTGCGACGCCCCGCGTCGAGCTCACGCCGTCGGAAAATAAATAAACGTCGTCGGCGTCAACGCCGCGTCGCAGGCGTCACCCGGCGGAGAGTGGGTGGTCCCGTCGGCGACGACGATAGCAGCGTGTCGCGATCGACGGGCTGGTCCGCGCGTCACCGTGGTCCCATCGCCAGCGTAGTTGCCATGAATATCATCTTGTTTAGTTTCGATGAGTATTTTAGGTACGGTCAGGTTTAGTGCTATTGAGAACACATGCAGCAGGATAACAAATGATTTAGCGCGACTAAATACTTCGGTTGTGCAGATAACAAATGATTTAGCGCAGCTAAATACGTCGGTTGTGCAGATCGTCGAATTGGCCCACTGGGGACCGCACTCGCAGTGTCTGCCCACCACCAGCGACCCACAGTGGCCGCCGCAGCTGCGACGGCGGCGACTGTGGATCAGCGATGTTTGCCCGCTGGTTTGCGCAGCCGGCACAGGTCACACGGCCTCCGAGACACTGTTGACCGAGCTAAACTGACCCCGCCATCCGCCGCTGCCGCTGTTGTGCATGTTGACCCAACCCAGTTCGGTCAGTTGCACTGGCAGCTTAGCGTATCCGGTTTTGTTGCTTGCCAAAGCGTAGCTTAGACCCATGAAGGACCGGTGAAGTGTTTTTTTTTTACCAAAATTTTTACATGCGGCTCTTTAGTTTCACATGATCAGGTAAGCTGACAGCTAAACGATTTGTGAAAAGATGCGGCGATCATCTGACCCTTTACCTTTTTTGCCATCTCATACTTTCCTCCATCTTCTTTGCTCCTCCTCTTCTCTCTTCCCGTCTCCCCTCCCCACCGTCGCTCAGTCTTCCCACCCTCCGGAGCAGTTTTTGCGCTGCCGCTGGCGTCTCGTCCAGGATCCATTACCACCGGTTGTGTCCTGTTTATGTATTTACCAAAAGCCGGTATCTATCACAACAGCAGTGCTGGTGTCAGTCGCGCCACCCGCCGCCGTGGCGTGGTGTGATGCGGCGAGACGTGGTGTGGCGCTCGGCGCCGCCTCTCGCCGCCGATTGTGCGCTGCGCCACAACAAACATGGTCCGCTGGGCCGGCGCGAGCACCAACATGTGCACAATGTGAACGAAGTGACCTGGGCGCGGAGGCATGAGGGCATGGCTCAAGAGTGGGTTTGAGTGTCGACTAGGACAGAGCAGATCCACACTCTGAACAACTGGCGAGGTTTTGAGAGATCGTTGCTGCGACGGCAGCCGTCGTGACTCACTATGCTATCTGCCGGCGCTAGTTTTTGGCGAGCAGAGTTGCTGAACTTTTGTAGCGAGGCTGCCGAACCAAGAGATATAGATGCGGAAAGGCGTAGGTGGAGCTGTTTTGAGTGGGAAGTTTTAAACGGCTCGCTTGCTATTTGTGCTCAAAGTTTTGATGTCCTGCATCTTCTTTGAAATACTGTGCCATAATATATAATAGCAGAGACGCCAGAATGCATAACCTTAGTAGAAGTCTGTAGGTAACCTGTGATCAGCTTTCTGACCTGAACCTTTCTCTTCACCAGGTGACTATGTGTGGTGACCAGCGGTGACCTGTGGTGACCTTCGGTGACCTGCGCTGACAGACATGGCGCTGTCGTCAGCCGCACTGCTGGCGCTCCTGGCGCTGCTGGCAGGACCGGCGCTGGCAGAGGAAGGTAAGTTCCAGAACTTCTGCCGTTACCCGAAGGCCAGTGCTGGCTCGAGACAGCGCTGCTTCAGAGGGCTGCAGATTGAGAATAGTGCTGGTTCAGACTAGCCGTAACCAGGACAGACCAGCGCTCTGTCTTAGACCAGCGCTGGGCTCCTGTCAGCCGGCGCGCTGCGGTGGGTCCATCTGTAGCCATCGGGAGCACATCTGGGCCGAGTTGGTCGACCCGTCGAATGCAAATGGCGCTGTCCAGCCCCAGTTTCGGCCTGTCCGGCTAATGGCCTAATGAAAGGCGCTCCAGTATCGGAGGCAGACTGGCAGTCAGTCAGGGACGGCTCCAGGGGGCTCCAGGGACCACCGCGCCGGCCAGGAGGGGGAGGCGGCACGTGGGGCAGCTACGGCGAGTCTCAAGCGAAAAGTGTAGCCTCAGTTATGAAACTCGTGTAAAAAAATAAGTTATGAATCCGTAATTCTGTTTCTTTTTCCGTTGAAGGAGTGTATGACCTTCATAGAGGACTTATTAAATCAGCGTGATCGGCTGCATGCGGTTTTTTAAAATTCGTCAGTTATTTCTAGGTAGCTTGTTGATGCAATGCCCCTTTAGTTTGATGGATAGTACGTTACTATTTTTGGTTCGTTGATGACTTCTTTGTGGGCTAAACGATGCCGTAATTAAACGGAATTTTTCATAGCTGAAACATCACAGGGCATATTCAATCAAAACATCTGGCGACGGCTCCATGCAAAGGCGATGGAAGACAACTTAATGAATGGGATATGAATCACCGTTTATCTTAGGCCCATATTTATGGCACAGGGAACGTTAATCCACCAATAATGTTTGGAGTTACAAGATAACAGTGTCATATTGTGAAGTTGATTTATCTTCTCTGGATGGAATGTCACATTCGATAATGCTGAGTGCGGTGGAGTACATTATTTATTCTCTCCCGTCAGTGGTGTCTATGTTTATGTCTGCCACTGAGCTAATTCTACCAGGGATATTCTGCCACCACCGTCGCTGCCGCGGCTACCACCGCCGCCATTACCGCCGCTGCCGCTACCTTTACCGCCGTCACCGCAGCCACTTCTGCTGACGGGACCGGGATGGACGATGATGGACTCGGTCCGAATGCCGTGGGCGCAGCGTACGGCGGCGGCCGGCCTCATCACGCGCTCACACGCGTCTGTGGTGCGCTGGTAGCCCGCCCTCCGCCGTCGACGCACAGAAAAACTGCAGGAATGAGCCCCTCGCCGTGCGAAGACGCCTCGCCGGTCCTTTTGGTGTGGGATGTCGCGCGGCGCGGCGCCGGTCTCCCCACCGCAGAGGGCGTTTTTGCGGGCAGATCCGGCGTGTGAGACTCGGCGGGCAATTGGGCAGTGCTCGGAGGCGTCGCCAAATTTAGCAGAAATGTCACTGAAGTGGCAATAAACGCCGCATCGGGGCGGGTGGCGGCAAAAACGAGCGACGTGCCGAGACGGGGCGGCCCGCCGCGCCACAGGGGAGGGGGTCTGACAGCGCGGAGGGCCCGGAGGTCACGACAGACGGCGGTCACGACGGTCGAATTAGGGTCCTCGCGATCCGCCAGTGACGCCTCCCGAGCTGGCGGCGGTGCCGGCCCTCATGTCGCGCGGCCTCGTCGGCACAAAGACGGGGAGCGGCGACCGGTCGACGATCAAGGTCAGCCTCGGTCACACTTTGTTTACGGGTCGGTGACGGGCCCTGCCGCCGCCGCCGGTCGGGCTCCGGTTAATTGGCCTCCTAATGACGTCCATCGGCGGTTCGAGCCCGGCCACCGGCGGGGAAGGAGGCTGTTTTTGTACCGCTCAGCCGCTCACCTGGCCTGGTGTGGAGAGGCTCACTGATCGAGAGGCTCGCTCGAAGCTTACCCAATACCCATGGCCTGCGTCCGAATGCTGCCATAGCGTCGCCATCACCGCTCCCATGGGCGCATTCCGCACGGATTAAATCTCCTTACGTTTGATATTTCTGCATTTGAGGTACTAATGTAGCCTTCACACAACAATAGAAAACTCAATATCAATTATAATAATGCATTGATCGTACTCAGTGACCCCAGCCTTATCTGCATCTTAAGTAGCCATTCCCGAAAAGGTTAGACGTCGGCCAGTGCCGTTGGCGCACACGGTGTCAGCGCGCGCTGGCGGCTGCGGCTCCGGTGGTCCGGGCTACACTGCGGGACCGCGGCGGGCGATGTCCGGCCTTGTTCGGCCGTGTCTGTGCGGCCATTGTCGCAACTCATCCGCGCCGCCGCGGACGTAATCCTGCCATTTCGGGCGGACATTGCTGTGACGATGATACCGGTCTCCATCACTTGGCCAAGCTGGCGGTCTGAAACGTAGGGTAACGCTGAGGGTGTGGGGGGGGGGGAGGGGGCGAGCGAGACCCGACCTTTTCGTCCACCAACGCCGCGACGCCGACGAGGCGACAAGGTGATGACCACGTCTGGTTTTCAGCGGAGCACGGGCCATGAAGTTTAATCTTCGGACAACGAAGGTGCCGGGGCGGGCTTTGGCGGCCTATCCGCTCGGCGATGAGGCTTTACATTAGTTGGTTCAACGCGACCCTTCTAGCGGCGTAGGACCGATGTGAGGAGAGGGGCGGAGTCGGACTCCCTGCCAGTCGGACCCGGCTCTGTTTGTTTGTCTGTTCGGGCCGCCCACCTGCCCGTCTGTCTGACTGAGACTGGGCACCGGCTGCTCGAGTGACGTCCGCCGGCCCAGGCGCCGTGGCGAGACGGCCCGCGGCGAGCTCGCGTGTCGGCCTGTCGTGGCGCCGCGGCGTATTGGCAGGCCGCGTGTCTCATTTCCGGCCCGGTCTCGTGTCGGAAAGTGGCCGACTGTCCTCCCGGCCTCATTACGGACAGCGTGTCCGCGTGTCCGGACTCCTAGGCGGGTGTGTTCTTTGTGTCCGACTCAGAGTGTTGGACTGACGAACATGCTTCTGGGTCGACCATCCGGTATGTTCAAACATCAGCCGAGCATGGTCGGCACAGTCTGACAGAGGACTCACGTGCTTCCGACACGAGGCAGACTCCACTGAGCAGCTGTGAGCCGGCTGTCGCCTTTGGTCGTCCACCGTCGCTCCTCCGCTGCTCTCACGCCCTCGCGGCAGCGGCGGAGGTCTGCGGGAAGCCCTGACCGCACCCCGGGCGGCGCACCCGAGCAGCCGGACCAGGGAGTGGCCTCGGAACCGTGACGCGGCCGGAGCTGCAGCGACAGCGGCCGCCGAGCGTAGCTGCACGGCCAGATTGAGAACCCATTATGGGCGCGACGAGCACAGCCTACAGGGTGACTGAGCGACGAACATGGACTACAGGGTGACTGAGCGAATAACACAGACTACAGGCGATCAAACGATGATACTAGGAGACGCCGCGTCGGCAGTTCTGCGACTCTGACGGATGTTTCGCAACGCATACTTGGAGGAAATCTTGCCGCGCTATGCTGCGCTTTACTGAATCATACTGCTCCATGTTGCACTTTACTTGCGCCATACCCTGACCACTCCGTGCTACCGCATGTCCTGCCTCGCCATACACCTCGAGACTCTGTACCAGGTGCTGCTGCACCACTCGAGGATCTGGGTCACCGGTTAGCGTGTCGGCGTGGTGCGGAGAGGCGGGCTAATGCGGCCGGCCACTCCCTGGCCCACTGCACCCGGCTGGAGTTCACTCCATCCTCGCAGATAAAAAGCGTGTCCCGGCCGCTGTGGTCAGCGTCAGGAGGTGTGCGCTTCAAGTAGCACATGTCGTCTGAGTAGGTCACTGTCGCTTCTGACAGTGTTGCTCGATGGGGTAACGTTTGATTCGACCTTGTGTCAGCTATTTACGATGTCGCCGGTGTATTACACAAGCGACATGTGCAGGTGGGAGACGGGAGTGCAAATAGCGCGGACATTTTCCATGGCTGCCCAGTCAACTTGGGAGTCATCAATGGAGACTCTGTATAGTGGAACATAATTTTATTTCAGCAGCTGGGTGAACTCTCCTAGAAATGCTGCTGTATTTTCTAACGCATTTTTCTCTCATTTCACCTTCTGACCTCTCGTTCTCTTAGAGCTCTCCAACTCTTTGCCAACACCTCCCACCCCTACCTTTCCTCTGCACTCCCTTTCCTCCCTCCTCCGTGGCTCACCATTCTCCCGATGTCTGCATCCGCTCTGGTGGTCGACATTTATCGGCGAGTTTCGGAGAGCGACGACCCTGGATGTCGGCGGCGACAGTTAGTGTCTGCGGTCTGCCGCCAACCCTGCTGCCGCTGCCCGACGGGCCATCCGATAGCGTATTAATTACTAAGACCCAACCGTCCTCGGTTGGACCTGGGCTCCACTGCGGATGAAGTTTGGAAAGGAAAAGAGGTGATTGACCTTTCTGGGGAGTATGATGCGTGAACGAAGTAAATTTGGTGTTTATGGCTCCAAATTAATTTTTGTTATTCACTATTTCTCTCACTTACTGATCTGTAAAACTGTATAACCCACCGCTCGATGCCTAAGAAAGTGTTATGTTATAGCACCACCTGGCAAGTGCCATCTCTTACGGACGTCGTTAGGGAGCCCCATTTGAATATTATACCACCGGGAGCAGGGGGCACTGTTACGCAAGGACGCATTGCATAGCTCAGCTGGGTGCCACTAACGCCGTAGACGCGACATGGGTCAAGGCGGAGGGTGGCCAGGCGTCAGGTTAACCCTGAAGAATGTCGTGTCGTGGGTAAGCCGAGGAGGCGGATGTCACCTGCAGATGTGCTGGGTGGCTCGACAGAGAGACAACCCGGACGTGTGGTATCCAGGCGGCCGTGTGGTGGCCAGGAGCGTGACCTGTTGCCTCCTGGCCTGACCTCGGGACAAGGAAGCGCCAGCGGAGGCGTGACCCACGTCGATGAGTCGTTTTCCCTCAGCACGCACCGGACGGAAATGGTCGCGACTGGCGGGACACTTTGGCCCGCCTTTTTGGTGACAGCAGGCACGACAGTGCTCCTGGG